ACCTATGCCCATACTGGCAGTATTGGGAGCATAAAGGTCCTTGCACTCTCAGATCACTGGGGAAACCAGGAATGTTTTCAGGGTTGTCTTTTTAAAGAAAAAGACATATAACTTGATTTTCTACCCATAAGGCTGGAAATGGACGTGATTAATAGCCCAGTGCTCTGTATTATCTGAACTGCCAGGCCATACCAACCTCCCACAACCAGAATCTGAAATACATAATAGTTTAGGTGATCTTAGCGTTATCTGTATTGTCAGAGGATCCCCCAAGGTCCAACAAACAGGACCAGAGGTGGCTAATAGCCCAAATGACCTCTATGCTATCATATGACTGACACCAGGCTAGATCCCTCCCTAGGCTAATACAGGATCTATCTCTGGAAATCATCTTCTTGGAAGAAAAGACATGTACTTTGAGTTGTGTTTCAATATAATTATGCCTCCTCCTTGTGCACAAGGGATTATATTACACCAGGTAAGTGTTTTCCAAATTGTACTGTGCTTATTTAAATACGCTTACAATAAACTGCTCGGGGTCAGACTCTAGAAGTTTGAACCAGCATGGGTTAAATCTTGCTGAACCTGATTTCCTTCTTGCCTCTCTCGGATCATTGCTAGCCCTGGTGGTCCCAGCGACCCACCCCCACACTGGCAGCACTGAGTGCAATCATTGGATTATAAAAAGAACACATGAAATTGGGAGGGTAAAGTGGGGCAGCATGGGAGGGGATAGAGGAGAATGGGGGCTGGATTTGATGACAATATATACATGCTTCAAAATTTCAAACAATAAATCTTAAAAAGAAAACAAAATGTTTGAATCATGTTATCTCCAAAATACCTCCATTCCACAACTATATTAAATAATCTTTCCGTGCAGTTTCCACTTTTAAAAATTATTTATTATTATCTGCGTGAGTGCATGATATGTGTTGGTGGGGGGGCGGTGCATGTGCTATGGCACATGAGTGGAGGTCAGAATAACTGTGGGGTCAGCTCAGTTTTTCAATCTAGGTTGGACATTGTCGATGCTCTAACCTGAAGCCAAGGTTTCAACCCTCGCTGACAGCGTCACCTGAACAAAGTCACATCCCCTTGGGGAGGCTCTCCGCCTTTGGTTAGAGAAGGATGGGGAAGCTCACCTAGGAGGTTGTGCTACCTGTGGAGCCAAGAGAAGAGACAGTTTCAGGGTAAGATTCTGTTTTCAGCCAGTCAGATCCCGGAGAAAGATGAGGGGAAATGAGAGTGGCCACGGATCGCTCCATTGGTAGCAATGAATGGAGGGTAGTTTCAGAGAATACTGACACAGAAGCCAGATTACAGGGACTTTTACTTTGAAATCTGTTTATAGCAGAGACATTCAGACAAGAATGACTTCATCAGTATGAAACTTTATTCACAGACATCTTTATGAACACATCCCAAGCAAAATGTTCATCCCCCAATTTCCTCCTTCCTTCTCTGCTTCAGTCTTTCTCTTTTATACATTGTACTTAACCTTTTTCATTTTCAACTGTATGACTTGTCTATCTTAAACAGAGACATATAGTTCAACATGGTGGTGCACACCTGTAAGCCCAGCACTCTGGTGTTGGAAGGAGGAAGATCAGAAGTTCAAGGTCATCTCAGCTACACAATGAGGTCAAGACTAGCCTAGGCTATATGTGACCATATCTAAAACAAACAAAAACCTAAAAAAAAATTAGAGGGAAATAAGTTCAACATGATATAAGGGGAAGGGGCTGACAAGAAGACAATGCTTTCTCAAGTCGTCTTGGCCTTCACCTTCCTCACCAATGCTCTCCCACCCTCTTGATCCCCACAGCACCTAACACAATTGTCCTTTCTCTAGTCCTGTTTCTTGAGTTCATCAAAGGGAAGGAAAGACATTGAAGAGGATTCTCCCCATCTTCTCAACCTCATACTTCCCATTTGCCACCATGAACACTCATTCCTTGGCCTCTCTTTCTCCTCCCTCCCCCCATGAATACTCCCATCTCACCCCAGCTTCAGGTCCCTACATGGTCCAAGTCTTGGTAGGAACTTCCCCTTCACAGTCTTTGTTAGTTAGGTCCGGTTCTCTTGAGACAGTCTCAAGTCTTGGTCCTCCCGCTTCCACCTCTCAAATGTCAGGGTTCCCAGTGTGCACCACCATGTCTAGACCTCATGGGGATTTCTGTTTCCAGTGGGAACCAGAAGACTCTACAGGCAGCCCATGGAGCCAAGCATGGGTCTACAAAAGTACCTTGAAAGAATAGTGTTGGGAGGATTTAGGTATGCTGAGATGGGACAGTAAAATGAGTAAGTGCCAAGAAATGGGAGATAGTTTAGTTCTTTCCATATTCCTCTATCAATTTCCCAATTGTCCCAATGTCCTCTCCTGGTCCCTATACTTTGACTAATGAAGTCTGGGTTTTGTAGTTTTAATTTTTTTTTTATGCCAGAGTATTGAACCAGAACCTAACCCATGCTAAGTAGGCATTCTATCAATGAGTTCCATCTTTAGCTCTCAACTCACTGTACTTCTTTCATGGAAAATTCCTTAGTAATCCTTGTGGAGTTCTTCCTGGTTGCCTCTCTTACCTGAGTATATTTGCCAGTCCTTCTCCCCAGGCCCATTTCCCATGAGATCCAGAACCACCTTTTCCTTAGTAGAGATCATATACACAAAAGCAGTTTATGAGCTGCAAATTCCAGTATGGAGTAAAATACTAACAAGAATAAAGCATCCTCATCTACAGTACATAACAGGACTGCCTCAAAACACA